GCATCAACAACTGCTAATTTCAGTCTAAGCCAAACTGCTCAGCACCTTTGGAAAAATACTTCTGCCCTTTTAGATCCCAGCACCTGGACTGAGATGTTTCAGGAAGTCAATTAGAATTAAGTGACCAGCCCAAGGCCCTGCTTTAATGGGGAAGGAAAAAGCACAGTGGTAAGTCAGGACTTCCCAGCTCCAACCCTGAACATCCCTCAGTCACACCCCAAAGGGTGGAAGAGTCTGTGGAAAGAAAGGGAAGCATTACAAACATCACAGTGCTCCTTTAAGCAATTGTTCTCAACACAAGGGGAAGACAAGGAACTGTATGGCTGGGCACTGCTTCTACATGCAAGGACATCAGTGTTTATGTCTATTCCAGCAAATGTGGGGTGAATTAATACACCACACCCCCTTCAGCTCTGGTTTAATGAAACAGAGAGTTATATGGCAGACTGCTCCCTAGCTCAACAGAATGAAACAAAACATTCATAGTGAAGCCAGAGACTTGATGAGGCACTTTCCTAATCACTGCAGATGGGCACTGCCAAAAATCCAATGTGTAGAAAAGGGGGGAAAACTGACAGAAAAGAAGGGGAGGAAAACGAGGCAGTGTAAAGGAAGACAAGGAGTGAGGCTGCTCCACTACAGGCAAGTGGTGAAGGAGAGCCTGAAGTCTGATGTGTGCTTGTCTGTGTGCAGAATAGGCTGAACCCTGGGGGTGGATTATGACTTGTATAAATACCCATGACTTATCCAAATGAATGGAGTGGCCTATGCAGCTGAGCCTTCTTCCCAACTCCCTATAATTAGCATGAGAACCTATTAATTTTTCCACTTACTGGAAAAAGAGATGAGTACAGGTTCCTCCAACTAAGAAGCAAATTCCTATGAAGTACAGCATATTTTCAGAGTTTTCTCACCTCTAGGTGAGATACCTTCTAAGGCATTAGAGACCTCTGCTCAGGGGCTTATCCTGCTTTTTCCAGCCAGTTCTGGACCTGTTCAAATCCTACCTACCCATCAGTAGGCCCGAATGGGATGCAACTCAGAGAGTGCCTGTCCTGGGCCTTCCTTCTCTCAGGAGCACTGGAGCCAAGAATGAGAGCAGAGTATCTGTTCTTACACAATATTAGCTCTAAGCTAGACCCAAACAGCTGTGCTGGTACTGACCAATTCTGATGACATTCCCCCAGGATACTGGCTGCAAAGAGCAGCCTGGTGGAGGACTCTGCTGCTGAGTCTGTCTCTGACAAACATCTCTGAGTGAGTGCAATGCAGCTTTGCAGGCATCTCCACAACGCTGGGGAAGTCTAGGTGGAAATTCTGGGCAGAGGTGAAGGGTAGAAAGTAAAAGTTTTTAATTGGGAAAAGTTCTGCCAAGGAATTGCCTGGCAGAATTTGGTGGATTTAAGAGCAGACCCAAGAGCACAGCTACTTTCCATGAAGAACTCTCTGTGAATGAGGCACAGGTTTCACAGCCCAGCTGGCCCTGGGAGTGTGCCCTAGGAGCAGACCTGGGGTCTAACAGGAGTGAAGTTTGTCCCACGTCCTCCGCAGAGCCCAGCTGAGCAGGAGGGGTAACCACACCCACGAGAGCTCCTACTGGGAATACCGATGAGGTGGAACTGGCAGCAGGGGAGAGGAGGCCAGCAGGAAAGGGAGAAATCGGGCGGGGAGGGTGTGACAGGGTGTGACAGGGCTCGTTAAAGCAAGGAGTGTAATTGGGCTCCTCTGCAGACTGAGTGGGCTGAGCCCTGAGGGACAGATTCTATCTCGTACACAATTCCCATACCTTGCTAAAACCTGTAGGATGGAAAGGGATTTGTGTCCCTGCTCTACAGAACAGGTGATACAGACACAAAAGTCTGGATGATACCATCAAACCCAGTGGCTTTCACCTGCAGGCTTCCAGTCCAGAGTCTCCTATTCCACACTTACACATCCCAATGCCTCCTAGCAAAGACCAAGGCTGAAATAAAAAGGTCAAAAGTCACAACTGCAACGTGAATAGAAAGTAGGATGGGGATCTTATTTGTAAGACTCTGGGATCATCACAGAAACTGGGTATGCAGACAGTGAAATCTCTTCTTCGTTTCTCCTGACAACAATCTCTGCTCACCTGGAAACACATCATCAAACAGAATCCCTGAATAAAGAAGAAAGATTGGTTTTTACCTCCTAGATACAAGATGCTTTAGTTGTGAAGAAAATTATTTATCAGATTTCAGCTCCTTGTTTTCCTCAGTTCTTAGTTCTCCTATGAGCACCTCTTGAGTGGTGACATTTATTTGGCATGTCATTTCCCTCTGAAGCTCAGCCTGGCACAAGCTCCCCTTGCATTAAGTGCTACACAATATAATTCAGCACAAGCAACTTGCTCCTGCAAGAAACCCTTGCCATTTGTTCACCCTTGACTGATATTTGCCAGGTAATTTCTCTACATAATCCTCCATCTATTCAATGTGTATTAGCTGCCCTTCGGAAGAAATTACTGTCTGGAATTTGAGCTGTTTTAATTGAAAAAAAAATTAGATTTCATGATATTTCTGTGGCCCTGAATACAAGAGATAAGCTTACAGAATGGGATTTTCTGTGGGGTTATCTCTAAGGCTCCAAACCTCAGCATCTGAGTAGCTTATTCCATCTCTGTGCCATTGATTCTGTGCTTCCTGACTTTTGTCTACCTGCAATAATCGCTTGACAGCAGAACTGGAAACAACTCCTTGTCACTATTTAATGATTCTGTCTTAAGGCAGGCACTGGAACTCAGCATAAGGTGAATTTTATGAATAAAATGAATAAAATTCCCTCCTGTAATAGTTTTCCTAGATGTGTCCACCCCCGCTTGCTTTTCTATATCAAAAAGGAAGGTTCCCAAGTGATTTGTCTTTTGCTTTTCAAGCAAAAAGTTTGATATATTTTCCCCAGTTGTCAAAAAAAAAAAAAAAAAAGAGTAATTGTCAAGCAACTGTACTTCTTTAACTATAATAGCAGCAGAAATTGGCTGTTTGATGCTCTGGTTAGCATTCTTCTCTATCCCCTCGGGATTCTTAGATGGTCTCTGAACATCTGGATCACAAGACTACACCAAAAACCCATTATTTTCCAGCAAAAAACTCTCCTAGAGAGAGCTCCTATAATCCTTCTTCTTCTAAGAAAAAGAAGAGAGACAAACACCTACTCACACACTTACTGAGACTTGTACTAAAATAAAATTAATCTACAGAAGGAAAGGGAACTCATCCAAAGATACTGCCCAACATTCCCCTTTCCTGCAAAGCACAACTGATGGTGCTACTTGCAGTTCTTAAGATTATTCCTGGTAATTCATTAAGGCAGAGATGTGATGATCCAGAGCAAAAACGTTCCAAATAAACAGATTTAAACTAATAACTGTGTCAAATAAAAGAATAAATATTTCCCCATCCACATGGCTCTCTTGACAGCCAACTAATCTGATTTATTGGGGACAGGAAGTACAACTGATGGGGCAGCGTGGGAGGTCTGCCATTTCCACACTTGGCAAAATCCAGGGTTTTCACAAAGTACAACATGTCCTGTCTTGCCTGCTCCAACTGGTTCAAGGGAATTCAGGAGAACTTGGAATATATAACATGCCTAAAGAGGTCTTTTGCTGACAGTAGATGGGCTTGGGGTTAAAAAAATGATCCCAACACATCAAGAATGTCCTTTCTCATGAAAGAATTCCTATGATACTTTCAGGAAGAGCTTGCTCTGGCTCTCCATCCCTGCCTACAGAAGGAGGTACCCAATGCTACACTGGGATCAGGCTGTGAGCTCTCTGCAGCAAGCACTATCCTAATTGTCTGATACCTGTCACAGTGTGGCCCTTTCTCACCCCTCACAGAGGAAGGAGTTTCTAACCAGAGAATCCCACCTGGCACTCACCAGGGCAAACATTCCCAGTGTTCAGAGGCAGATCCCTGCCAGCCACATCTCACACATGGGATAGCTACAAACATTGGGAGCCAGCTGCTTGTCTCCTCCTGCCTCAAAT